GCCCCCCCGGGGGCCCCCGAGACCGCACGAGATGTGACGGCCGGCACTGAGCAGGGGGTTAGCGCTACTGCTGAACGAGCCCTGTGTCCGCTGGTCACCTATCGAAAACTAAGTCGCACCCGGGGAGTCCTCCGACGGACAGAAAGTACTACAGGAAACCCCCCTCAAAGTCCCCTCAACGTCCAGGACCCGGGTGACCGGGAGCCCAACGAGTCATATCCCGGGCTGGGCTGGGGTGGGGAGGTCACCAAGCTCCAAAAAGCCCGGGAAAGGACCACAGCTGCTTCCGGGCGATGACTCCGGTCCCTCTGGCTCCTGGGAGGGGGCTGTAGGTGGACGGTTGATTTGTTCCCGAACGGCTTGTGCGAGGGGGCACTCCCAGAAGTGGTGCATGTGTGGGGGGCATTGCTGGTTGCTGGTTTGTGGCATTGCTGAATCCTCCGCACCCGCACCGCTCGGGCACCATGCGAGCGTGTTGTTGTGCGTGTTGCCGGGCAGGGGTATGCCACGTCCACGTCCAACCGCCGCCGCAGCGTTTCATTGTTCTCGTTCTCCCACAGCACCGCACCCCAGACCGCAGACCGCAGGGGGGGGGCCCTGTGTTGCCTTGACACGGCTCTAGTTCCACTGGTGGAGGGGGGCCGCCAGCTCCTGGCAAGTCCAGCGCCTCTTGTAGCCGCCAAGGCTGCCATCAGGCACCCCCCTTTCCCTCCTCCGTGGCCTGCGTTGTGTAGCTAGGGGTAGGCGGGCCGGTAGACATGTAAGCAGCGGGAGGGTTGTTGTGGACACCCCGCCCCCCGGGGTATCTGGTATCCGCCATCCGACCCGCCTTAAGATCATGGCCATTGCCCCATGGGCACTGTTGGATGTGTGTGGAGCAGTCGTGTACCTTGTCGTTGGTATCACTGGCTGCTGCTGCTGTAGTGGCTGCTGGTGCAGTGGCCGGGGTTGCTGTGTCTTTATCGGGGATCCACCGCTCTCACAGCTTCGAGCCGGCAGCCGGGCTGGTAACGCCATGCAGCATCTTAAGGGTTGTGCCAGGGTCGCGGACCTGGGTGCTGGGGTTGACGGGTCGAGGTGTGTCCTGACCCATACGGGCCAGGTCGACCTGGGGGGGGGAGGCCGCTTGAGTACGTCCCAGTATATAAATTCTGAATGTACGTATGTATGTATGTATGTTTATGGCACTTGGGTTTGGTAGAGGCTGCGTAAGCATGGATAAGAGTTCTTCCAACCCCTTCCTTCCATTACAAGCGGATGCATTACTTGGATTGTACTATTCGTCCCTCCTGCAGGGCGCAGAGCTCTCGTGCAGCGGCAGCAGCGGCAGCAGCAGGGGGCTGAGGGTGCGTGTCACGGCAATGATGATGGCAAGCACCGTTCGGGACCCCACCGCCGCCACAGCGGCTACAGCCGGCTACAAGCCGTACCCGTACGGCAGCCAATCGTCGCCAGTCACACTGCCCTAGCAGACCTTCCGGGTCTGCCATCGGGCCTGGATTCAGACTTGGTTTCGGAGCCGCGATCTCCTCTTGTCTCTCCTGCGTTATGCAGCCTTCCCCCGGCGGATTGCAGCCAGCAGCTATCCCCCCATCATCATCTGGACGTGGCTACGGAACTCCCAAGAGTGGCAGATGGTGGTGATGGTGGTGGTGGTGGTGGTGGTGAAATGAGGGGGTCCTTATATGGGAGTGAGGGGAGGGACGGCTGGTGGGTTGGATGCAGCAGTTGGTCGTTTGTACGGCAAGGGCGATGGGATGTGTGGATGGGCGTTGCAACAGACGTTGCAACTGACGGATTACGTGATGTTTGATTTGGTGACAGCGGTGGTGTTGTGTGGGGGTGGTGGTGGGGAAGGGGAGGAGTAGGGCTGGCTGACGAGATGACGCGACACGTGGGGAATTGATTGCCATCATTATGATGGCTGTGGTTGTTGTTGTTGTGTTGTTGTTGTTGGTGGTGGTGTTGGTGGTGGTGGTGGTGGTGTGAGCCCACGGGGAAAGGCGTGTATGCATGTGTGTGTTGGGTTGTGGCGAGTGAGTGACCTGGCTGACCTGCAGCAGTTCCCGACCTTATCTTCATTAGGAGCGAACGAGCGAACGAATATAACGAACAAACGAACTAATATAACGAACGAATATAACGAATAAACGAAGCGTCCTGCCCCGTCCTGTTCTCTGGGTTTGCGACGAGTACGTGCGGTGTGTAGACGGCTACAACCTATTACAGTTGATGGAAAGGCTGTCAAGACCGCGACGGTTGTGACGGTTGGGGTCCCCAGGGAATTAGTTGGTTCTGTTGGTTAGTCATGGTATGTATAGCTACGCGGGTCAAGACACTGTCTGGTGGCAGTGGTTGTGGTGACGATGGATGAGCTGTAGCTCCGCCACCCTTGGCTATTAGAGGGGGGAGGGGTATTGGCAGCAGCGGACGGAACCCGAGGCCAACTAGCCTGATTTTGTGGTATCACCCCCGGGGGGGGAAAAGGGAGGGAAGGGGGTTTCCAGTTTTTGCCTGTTGCACCTTTACAGCCTTTACCAGGTATTCTCTGTTGAGGAGAGATCTTGCCGCCGTCCCACACAAGCAGAAGCCTTGCGGACCCGGTTTGGCACGGCCCCTTGCCACGGACCCCTGCCACGGACCCTTGTGCACGCTTGATACGCTTGATACGCATGCATGCCCCTCAAGACCCACTGGCCATCACAACAATGAAATACAGCCGGCTATGTTTGATTGCTACTACACATGCTGCCTGCCTGCTGCGCTTTGCTTGGCCAAGATAGACCGCTGGATGGCCAAGGGACACTTATCAACAACTTGTGCAACCTTTCCATCAGCAGCATCATTTTTCTGTCTGCATATTATGCTGCGCGCTTCTGCTGCTGCTGTATGTACCCTGGCTCACTCGCTCATCGCTCGCTCATGAAATATATAATGAGAATGCGTGGCTATATCATAATAAGCTTGTCAATAGAAACAGAACTTAAAAGCCTTTAAGGACCACTCATGCATGTTTGCGTGGGCGGCAATGCATGTATATATTATGTTTGTACGTGTCCATTGGAATTCCGCCGCCGACGGTCTGTTGCGACGACGTGTGCGCCGTCTAGTGCCATAGTGGTATACCGTCTAAAAGGTTGGAATATATAACTAATGATCATTGTTCGTAAATAGGCGGGGGGCTTCATTAGCCTGCCTATCTGCGTTTAACTTAGGTGGACTTATTAACATTACTCTCCTTAGGGTAATTTACAGCTTATTAAAGTTAGTTACAAGTTCCGCACAAGTGCGGGGTGTCCGTAAAAGCCGGGGGGGCCATGGACGGTAAAGGAAGCTGCATTATTAGGCTGCAAGCATATATCCCAGCAGCGAATCTCGGTAACCAATGCTAACCTAGCAGGAACCCGCTGTTGGTTGTTATCAAGTCACGAGGTGACGTCGTCGTCAGCAGTCGACTCGGGGGGCCGTCAGCCGAAGCAAAATTTCCGAAGTCTTGTCGCATAAGCAGCAGCCATCAGCAGCACACGCTATACGTGCTACATTATATACGTGCACCCGCTGCTGGCCACCGCATTACACGGTCATGAAGGTTTCAAACCTGTTGCTGATATGTGTGTGTGTTATGGTTGGGGGTGTGTGACCCCATACCTGTAAGACTACCCATACGAGCCGAAGGCCCAAGGGCAATAGTACAACGCCTAAAAGCCACGGAGGAAAGGAAAACACCGCACATCAGCCCAGACTAGCGTCCAAAGGGGGTAATTGAGTTTCGGTGAGCCTACATACGTTCCATGTTGTTCCTGCTTCTACCGATGTATCTATGCAGCTAATAATAGCAGGCAGGCGGCACGATAACGAATTGCCCGCCATTATTATATGTTTTATACGTGTTCGAAGCAAACAGTGAAGCTAGTAGGGCATCCCGAGGCAAGTTGGTGTCCTGCTGCTGCTGCTGCTGCTGCTGCTGCTGCTGCTGCTGCCTATCGCTCCATCCCGTGGCGGGTCCCCAAGGGGCTATTAGTCATGCCAGCAACTTGCATGCCGTACGTAGTCATGTCACGTTCCTAGCAATAATATGACAACGCACCCTCGAGTCTTTTTCTGTTGGAGACATACATACGCAACGCAAAAATCCGATCCTATTCCTTCCGTGCGATTATATATTTATACTACTGTTGCATTTTCAGTTTCGGCGACAGAAGTAATTTGCGAGCTTCAGATTACTTGCGGCATCAGCATCATAATCAGCAGCAGCTGGGAGTTCAGCAATCAGCTGCAGCTATCTGCGATGACCTACACCGCCCAGCAGGCTAGCCACCGAAAGACTGAAAAAGACCTTCCGGGCGTGTGGCGCTGACCATCCATTCTTCGTGAGCAAGGTAGGGGCAGCAGAGCAGGAGATTTGCAGGATGCTTGTTAACAACTCCTCAGCCTAGAAGCCGAGTAGTGTCTACCTGCTGCCTTCCTACGCGTTGCTTTCCACGAACACCCGTCGTAGCTGTCGTCCCCGCTGCTGTATATAAACCGAGTCGAGCGAGCGATTGAGTAAACAAACCTGCGACCAAACGTAAAACAGCATGTATGGCATAGTAATGACAATAATCAGCTTTGGTTTGCCTGCCTGCCTCGTCCAATAACAAAGGACGTGGGTGGAAGCCGACGCTATCTTGCCGCCGACGTGGGTGGATTAATTCATTGCGTGATCGATGATGAGCCAGCCACATAACAGGAGAGCGGAGAGCTACAGACATACAGATAGACAGCAGTAGTAGTGAGGTGTGCATTTTTGCTGCTGATAACACAAGCAGCAGCACGCAACCTGCGGCCGCCGCGGCCGCCCATTTCCTCTCCTGACCTTAGGGTGCATTTCATGGATGGATATAGAATTTGTTTTCTCCTCGTCCTCCCTCCTCCTCCTCCACCTCCTCGTAGTTTAGTTTCAAATGAATATTCCTGATAACAAGTGGTGGTCAACGACCTCTGCTGCTAGCTGCTGCTGCTGCTGCCTCGACGGACTATTGCCTCATCAATTGACTCCTCTGCCGTCGATCCCCCCCCACACACATACATGTGTACACATACATACAGGACCTCCGGCACATCGGATCCAAGAACAGATGGCCGACCAAGGCTCCGATGCCGCTGCCGTAGCGAAGACGTCGTCGACTCTCGCCCGCATTACCCATCATCCGGCTCCACTACTGTGTCCAAATAATGATAATAATCACAACACCAGCAGGAAAACCGCCTTCCTCGCGAACACTACTGCTGCTGCTGCTGCGGCCGACGACGGCACTGCCCAACAGGCCGTCAAGGAGGTGGGCTGCTGTTCCGCTTATCAGCAGCCACAGCAGCTGCAGCTGCTGCTGCCCGCCGGCTGCATCCGAACGGCCGCGTGTAAATGGCGCCGAGGAGACGGCGAGCGAGGAGGTTTCCAGGATCATCAGAACGACCTGCTGCTGCTGCTGGCATCCGGCGCGCTGGTGAGTAGGCCTGCTGATGAGGAAAATGCATTTTGCAGCTTGTCAATTGTCTATGCAGAAAAGGCTGTAAGGCTGCTAAAGCATTACTTGCACTCGTGCATACTTAGGCAAGTGGCTGGCAGAAGTTAAGGCCTGATTTCTTCTCCCGTAGTGTCCGGGTTCTATGTCGCCTGCCGATCCCTCAGTGTGTGAGGGGCGTTGACTTGGGAGGTGGCTCCCCAGCTTGTGGACGGTGTAGGACGCGATTATATCAACTTGAGAGCTGACCAGGAACTAAGTCGAGGCGCCGTTGATCTGCCAGTTTTTGTTGGATGCTGGTGGTGAGTTGCCGAACCCAACGAGCACATTCTGAAGTCGGATGGGGTGAATAGATTAGGTTGCCCCTCTTGCAGGGGAGAGCAGGGAACTGCCTCGGGAAAGGGGGCCGCTGGTGAAGCTATACCACCCTGTAACAACATACATACTTGTGTGCATGATCGGCCCCCCCACACACACACACAAAAGAGCATGACACACCGTGTGGTTAGCCGGACGGTGTTAAGAGTACTGAGAGCACAACGCAATCACTGAAATCACAGTCGCATATCTCTGCGGCTAATTAAATTTTCTTGGCAACAGCCTTAGGTCCTAATAAGCCAATTTTCCTTCGTCGTTCACTCGGTGACTCAACGATTGTGTTCTCACAAACAATCATGCATTTTCTGCGTTCCTACGTTCTCCCTTACCATATCCCGCAGGTACTTGCCCATTTCTTCACTCCCCGTCAGCAGGCCTCTGCGCCGCCGCCCCTGACGCTCCACGCCGCAAGCACCGTGCCGTGTTCGCCCAGTCGTCCTCCCGTAGCCACGATGACAACCACCACTACCACTGCTGTCGATATCTCTGCAGCCCCTTTTATTGCTGCTGCCACCGCAGCTGCCACCGCGCCGGTTCAATTCCTGCCGAGAACAGTCTTTTCGGACCATCTTACGCCTCCATCGTGTAGCTGTCCGGCTGCTGGCTCCCTTAGGGGATCCCATTCAAGGGGGCCTCATCAAATGCTGACCGCATGGCCGCAGACGGCGATGGGACCCGCCGTTGGGCTACGTGATGGATCACCTGCTAATGAACATGGTGTTGTGGCGCCTTCCACCGCCACAATGGTCGCCACCACTACTGCGGCCATGGAATGCGCAGCTGCCCTAATGATGAATTATTGTCCGGCTCCAGATAAGAAAATCCGGTTAGGTACAGCGCCTCCGACGTCGACCAGCTTCGTTCCCCCCTGTCGTCGCTTCTCACTGCTGGCCACTACTGCTAGCAGCAGCAGCAGCAGGGGCAGAAGTGAGGATGAGCTATCGCCGTTGTTACGAATTCATAATCAGCAGTCGCACAATGACGCCCGCAACGAGGTCGCCGTGCAGCAGACAGCCGTTCTGCCTTCACCATCCCCGCATGAGGGTAATCGGGATAATTACGGACCTCCAATGCACTTCAATAACTTGGATCAAAGTGTACGATGCACCTGTCGTGCTGTGTACGACGGCAGGCTCATGGCCAACCATGTTTGCGACGTAGTAAAAGACCCCAAGCAGCAGCAACAGCTGGGGGGACAGAAGCGGCGTCTCTTGGACTTCGTCTGGGCCCATGACCGTTATGTGACCTGGTCGCCGTCGCCGTACTTCCAGCCGTCATACGACAACCTGCGGGAGGCTAGCACAAGGCCTCTTGTTTCAACCCCTCCAACCGCGATGTTGTCATCAGCGCCGTCACTGCCCTCGCCACTCCCCCAGGACTACCACAGATACAACAGGCCTTTGCTGAGCTCCGCGATAAGGGATCCCTCGGAGAGCCACCCATCCAGACGTCAGCCTGTTTCACATGACGGCGGGCTCCTGGCCGAAGTGGGCGCCCAGCAGGGGGGCCAGCAGCAGCAGCAGCCGCGAATTTGTTCAAGGGTGGCGTCTGCGGAGGCCAATAATGGCAATTTTGTTGATAAGGGCTGCGGCGATTATGACTGCGGCAACTTCACTTCTGCACCTGCAGCTGGACTTATTGTGGTGGAGACGCCGGTGGCGGTCTCCGGTGCTGAAGATGGTGACGATCATGATGATGGTGGTGACCCACAGCGAATGCCGCCATCATCGGTGCGGCAGATATCGACAGCGGCAGCCGCCCTCGAGTGTGTGATCAGGCTCCGTCGATGGCCGCGCGCTGATACCTTGTTGTCGTCGTCTCCGTCGTGGTCGTCTCCGTCGTGGTCGTCAGCCCCTCCTTCGCGATCTCCTTCGTTTTGCTCATCGGACGGGGGAGGAGACGAGCAGCATTGGGCCGTACTGCGCCGTCCCCTGCAGAGCTAAATTTTGAAATCCAGAGGATTAATAATAATTAATATACACATGTGTACGGCATACGGCACATGTCTGCCAGCAGCTGCGGCCCTCTTGTCTGTCTGCCTGCGTGCTCCGGTGACTGGATGAGGGTGTCCCGAAATGCCGGGGAAGACAGGGTCTGCCGGGTAGCGGCCGCAGGGTGAAGATATGAACCCCCTGTCCCACACATCATACAGGGGGCCCAAAGTTGTGCTAAAGTATGCCTTGCTTGAAAAATAGATGTCTGACACACGATGAACGGTGTGTAGATGTTTGCAGATAAGACGTTTGACACCCTAGGGTATGAGGGAGTTACAAGTTCTACACACATACCTACATACCTACATACACACATGTGCAGGGGTGTCCGTAAAAGCCTGAAAAAAGGGCCGCATGGACGATGTATTGGTAGGTGGGTCTCAGCAGATTCCAAGTCGTCAGCGACCTGAACAGGCCTGAAATATTGGCTGTCCGCGGGGTACGTGTGTGTGTGTGTGTCCGCGGGGTACGTGTGTGTGTGTGTCCGCGGGGTACGTGTGTGTGTGTGTGTCCGCGGGGTACGTGTGTGTGTCTGTGTCCGCGGGGTGCGTGTGTGTGTGTGTGTCCGCGGGGTACGTGTGTGTGTGTGTGTGTCCGCGGGGTGCGTGTGTGTGTGTGTGTCCGCGGGGTACGTGTGTGTGTGTGTGTGTGTCCGCGGGGTACGTGTGTGTGTGTGTCCGCGGGGTGCGTGTGTGTGTTGGCCTAGTGGGTGCCGTGGTGAAGTGATGGATATACATACAGGGGGCCCTAAGTTGTGTTCTCGTGTTTGGTTTTAGTAGCTAGTAGCTAGAGTTCCTAACTCCCCCGTGCCTCTGCCATGTGCACGGCCGCCATTGTCTGTCCTGCGAACACGTACCCCGCCAAGGGGTGTATTTGCTTACTGATTTTACGGGACGGTAGACCGCCTTCTTCTCCCACCCCATCCCATCCCCCACCCTGGAATGCACCCCACGCCCCCACACAGATGTGGGCCGTGTCTAGGGAGGACTATTGCCGGTGGTGGGTCGCGGGGGGAGTTCATCTCTATCTGGTGGTTTGCGTGCGTGCGTGCGTGCGTGTATGCGTGGTGCTGTTCACGGCGCAGTAATAATATCGCAGGGCGTTCATGTCCCGGAAGCCTCTAAGATTTTCCGTGCTCCTGTCTCCCTTAACCGTCTTCTCGTGGCTCTGACTCTTGACGTGCTTGCTAACCGTGCTTAGAATGGTGGAGACGGGAAGCGGGGAGACCGGCTGCCATGGCCCTTACACTGCAGGAGAACTCAGCCCCAGCCAACCACGGCCGCGCGACTACGGCCCATCGGCCGCCACACCACTACTGTGCGGCCCACCAACACACCCCTACGGGGCAACACGCGTGGGACAGAACAGCACACAACGCGAACCCAAGGAACGCCCAAAGGCCACCTGAACAAACTCACGCATTGCGACCAAACTACATAAACCAAAGAAAAAGGGGGGCCTGGACTGAGCCAGCAACGAGCCCTAACCAACCGGAGCTCCCCGAGGCCGCACTACTAGGCTAGAAAGACCAAGCCGCAACGAGGGGACCCTCCCCAACCCTCCCTCTGTCGACTCGCCGGCTGTCCAGCCGCCCCTCAGCGGGCGTCTGCCACCGGCCCGCCGCTGGCCGAGCCCGGCGTGGAGGTGTCTGCAATCGACCAGCGAAGAAGCGAAATAGGGTGGTTAGGAGGCGAGGGGGATACTAACAATCGCAAGACCGTGGGGGGGAAGGTGGGCGGGGAACTGTCAGCTACAAGCTGAAGCTCTCTCTACTGAGTGAAAGGCAGAATGCCTGCAATGAAGGAGCTGAAGTGCGATATACTCGCCATTCTAATACGGTTGTACGACAGTCGCACAGAACCAGACTTAGAGGCTCCGATCGCTTCGCTCTAGGTTAACATCTAAGTCAACAAGTAGCGCTATAGCCGGGCAGTGATTGTACATATGTATGTCCACTTTGCGCCTACCTATCTACCTACCTATCATGAAAGCGGCGGTGAAACCACGTTGAGTTCCAGACTCTGCAATTTCTACGTTTGTTCCTTTCTGAAGTACATTCCCGCGCCATTCTTCCACGTTCATCACCTTGTACGGTCAAGGCCTTCTACTGCTGGCCTTCTTCTGCAGTCGCACTCAGGAATTATGGATATAAGTTTGGCGGTCATGCATATGGATTACAAATGCACCTATTCAAAAAAAAGCCACAATAATATGTCGAATTACTTAGCCCATGTCCCGCTCTATACCACCAAAAGTCCTGTTGTGTCCTTTGCGGCCCCCACCCCTGCGCTCGCCACCTACTGCTGTGCGGCCGTCGGCAGTGCAACAGCAGCCAGCAGCAGCAGCAGCCAGCGGACGCCGCCGCAGGTAAAAACACACACGCAAACAAGCGCATTTTACCTACATGCGAATTTGCACGGTCAGCCTGCCTAGACCTTCCTTCCGCCACGTAATCAGATATGTTCTACCGCCAAAATGCAACAGAGGGATGGGTGCGCTCCGCACCATGGAGAGGCCCCAACCGTGTTAATCATCGCGTGCGCGACACCGTGTATATGTATGTAGCCTTGCCGTACGTGCACGTGCGCGTGATACATACATACAAACATACATACACCGAGTGCTTGATCATGTAGTAAGCACGAGATATGCACGCTCTCCCCATCAAAACGTCTCTGTATGATGTATGTATGTCACATCATAAATATAACCGACCAGTCATTGCGCCCTTCCCTATCATCATTCCACGCGCACCCGCGCGCGTCGGGACTTGTACGACAAACGACACATGTACGGCAAGTAAAAGAACGTTCCACTCGACATGCATGCAAGCACACACTTGAGCATATGAGTCCCTGAGGCGTGGCACCTCCCACTGACTTCCACAACACGCCGCTCCCAATCCAGTGAGTGTTCTATAGTAGCAGCAGCAACGAGACGGCGAATTAAATGCTACTAGCAAACACGCAGTCGAGTCGTTCCGTATCCGGTGCTGCAACTAGACCGCCGCCGCCGCCGTTGCGCCGGTACACTAGTACTCGCCCTTCCTCCCCCTCCCCGCCGCGGTGGTGGTGGTGGTGGTGTTGTGCAGAGGTGTTGCCCCCGGGTGGTGATGATGAGCTTCAGTTCATCCCCGCTGACAGCCTGATGGGGCAGAACTGCTGCTGCTGGCATTGCTGCTGCTGCTGGCACACACACCCCTAGGCCCCCAGCCCCCAGCTCGTGTGCTGTGGGCTGGGGGGCTGGGGGAAATCAAATGGTCATCAAGACGATAACGTCCTCATCCTCAGCTACATCCCCGGTACCGCCCCCTGTTACCGCCCCCCGCTGCTGCTGCACACTCGTAAGGACATCTACCACCTCCTCCCTCCCGAACACCTCCGTCCAACTTCCAACTCCTCCGTCCCCCCCAGTCGACTTCAAAACTCCTCCTCAAATGATCAACTACACCTCCGGGTGTATGTACGTATGTACGTATTTACGCATGTATGTATGTACGCATGTACACGCAAGTCATCACCATCAAGTGCGCTACCAGGCGACGTCAACATTACCCCACCCACCCTACCCCCCTACTCACGCACACACACACACACACGGGGGGATAAAGAGGCGGCGCCGGAGGGCCGCCACCACCGCCATTGCCACCGTCAGAAAATTGCGCAATGGTGAATGGGATCATTCTTCTTTTCCTTCCACCTCCTCCTTCCTTCCACCACCTCCCCCCCTCCACCTCCTCCCACCTTCCCGTCACCTCCTCCTCCTTCCACCACCTCCCCCCCTCCACCTCCTTACGGACCTGGCGGTGTCTCAATCTTCATCAGCTGCATATCAGCCGCAAAGAATTTCGCAATGTCGTTGACGCACTCCACACCGCACCCCCGGTACCGCACCGCGTGGCGGTCGGAAGACACCAGCGCCGCAGCGTCCTCCCGCCACATGCTCACCCCGCCGGTCAGATTGCGAGTCGCCTGCACGTACACACCCTGCTTACGCCACCGAATCCGGCCCTTCTTCAGCTCGGGCAGAGAGGTACCCTTGCGGCGCTCGTTAATGATGTCCACCAGCGCCGTGAAGTCTTCGTGAAGGTGCTCGTACCTGCCGTACACATGCGTGTGTACGTGCATAAGATGTGTACGAACGAGAAAGATGCGACAGCTCATTCAAATTTTTCACATTACATACAGGTGATTCTGTGCAATCAAAAATATACATATACAAATTAGAAAAGAGAAATATATATATATATATAGATGACATCGTACGTGTATAAATGCATGTTTGTATGTATGTATGTATGTATGTACATGCCCCGTACATACCCACCGGATCAGGAAGTCCACAGCCAGCCCGGCGCCACTCGCATCCGTCATGCAGTGGTGGGCGGGCTCCACGTGGTAGAAGTCGTACGCCCAGGAATCATCACCACGAAAGGATCCCTGGAGTGGAGTGGAGTGGAGTGGAAGGGGGGGGAGAGGGGAGTGACCGCGGGTCAGTTGCGAAGCCGGTGTGGCGGTTGCTGTGGCGTACATTCGTAATGGTGGTTGTGGTGGTAAGTGCGGTGCTTGAGGAGGGAGCCCTTCCCCTTCCCATCCCCCCCTCCCAGCTTTTCATTACCAGCAAATCAGCTAGTTCTCCAGGCCAGCAGCAAACTTTATTCCAGCTTTACGACAGCAGTGCTTTACTACTTCTCCGCCGCCTCTACACCTACTTTTCTACACCTACTTCTTTACGGCTTGGCGTTACTGCTTTCTCTGCTTTTTTAGTCCTGGCGGCTTAGGTAGGTAGTTTTTCCGACATCATCTTCACTGCGTCATCCCGAGGTCGCGGTCTTCACGGACGCCTTTCGGTCAGTTCTACGTCTGGTACACTCTTGCCCTGGCAGCACCTTCACTAGTCTGTGGTTCGTCTTTCCCCCGTTCCCCCTCCCTACTGCAAAATTACCTTCCCAAGTCTTAGGCACTAGGGGGCTGCATGCACACGCCCCTGGTGGGCGCGGGTTGGCGGGAGCCACGTGTGGCCCCGGCAAGCGCACACACACACACTTGCGCTTCTCTTCCTACCAACTGCCTCTCCTCCCTTTGGTTTTTCTTATGCGTTCTTGCTATCCAGTTTTCCATTTCTAGCTTCTTTGCGTTTCTGCCGGCGTACACGTCATCCAATGTGTCATCCTGTTGTCAATTCCGTCATCTCGTACGACACCTTCTGCGTCATCCTGCGTCGCCTTTGCTTTCTTTTTAGTCCCTGCGTTATCTTCCACTTTCACAGAGGTTCTTTAGGGCTTCTTATTCCCGGGTTCCCCAGTCAGCCAGCTTAATACTCCCTTTCAGCGGCATTTGCATGCGTTTCGCTCGCTGCTCACAAACCTTGCCACCTCTCTGCCTCGCATGTGCCCTTGCCCGCTGTTTCTGCTGCCTGGCCAGGTGAGTCCGAAGGAGGTTCGAGCTTTGTCGGTTTATCGCGTTGCGTCAGTCGGCTAGCCGGACTAGGATAGTCGGGTCGGTCGCGCGTTTTTTGGGGGGTTTGGGAGGAGCACTTGCATGTCACCAGGAGCTAATCAGCCGGATTTGCTACGATCTCGTAAATGCCGCCGCCAGGCCGGCGGCAAATATCCTTTTCCAGCTTACGTCAGCACTACTTTTTCGCCGCCTGTTTTTCGCCGCCTCTACACCACCTTCACGGCTTCGTTCTACGGCTTTTCTCCCGCTCTTACTTTAGTCTTGGCGGCTAGGTAGGCAGGTAGGTTTCCGCGGTCGCCCCCCTCCCCTCGCCCACCCAGCAGCCTCATATGCCGTAAAATCTCCCCCCTTCCCCCTCCCCCCTCCTCCTTTCCCTCTCCCCTTTCTCCCTTCCCCTCATCCCTTCCCCTCCATCCCCACCTCGGCTCCACAACGAAACATGTTGCCCATGGTGCCCAACAAGTACGGGTTCGTACAGAACTGGCGGAAGGGAACGACACCGCACACGCCAGTCTTCACCGGCCACCTGAAGGACGTCACGTGGTGAGGAGGGAGGGCCCGTGGAGGGAGAGCAAGACGGGGAAATCCCAGGTGAGGACTGGGGGGGGGGGAGGCGACGGCAACCTCATAAGGCTTTAAGGCTTTGTTGGTGTAACATCTTACCTGTCGACCCTTCTGAGTGCGAATGCACGAATTTGGCAATGAATGCATATTTCCCAGGTGTGTCGTACACCGTACTTCCGTACTTCCGTACCTGTCTTGCGCGTAATCGTAGCCGCTTGCCGCGCGGGCCCATGGATTTCGTGTGGAGGAAATGACGTAATAGGAGTTCCACATGGTGTCGTGGGTAAGTCCGCGCGCCTCCATCTCCTCCTCCGAAAATGGCTTCATACACATGACTTTCTGGGATTTGCACGCGGTCTTGAATGTGTCTAACACGGTCGTCGAGGCTGCTTTGCGGTTGCGGATGAAGATCAGCTTGTAGTCGTGGTTGACAAAGACGCCGCATCTGTAGGACATGGGCGCTGGCACCGTGACATTCTCCCGGTAAACCACCTTGAGTAGTAGCCAGTCACGGAAGGCGCTCTGGTTAAAAAGCTTCTCGTCATAGCGTTCCGCGGGCAGAGGACCAGACTTCTTGACCTCGCCATAAACTTTGCTGGACACAGTGACGAGGTCGCTGTAGTAGTCCGAAGGCGATTGCGGCAGGTCTATCGGAGGAAGGCCTTTCGATGCGCTTATAGTTGTAAGGAATGCGCTGATGATGGAGAGCAGCAGCTGCCAGAGGGAGCTGTGCCACATCAAAGCTGCAGAGACAGCCTGCCGGCGAGACGAATCGCGCGCGCCCTTTCCCACATAAGGAGCCCTTGCGCCGGGGTCGGCCCCGGTGCCAGGACTAGCCATGAGAAGCGCTGTAAGGAAAAAAATGATTTATTTCCCAAATTGAATTAACCTGCCGCTGCTGTTTCGTGTTCTGACTGTGCTACAGCAGCCCTCCGAATCGCTGGAGCCCTTAGCTGATATACCAGACTCGTAGTTTATGCAAGGCAAAGGTAACGTGATGAAATACTATAACAAGCTCTAAGGGAATCCTTCTAAGCGGATACAATCCTTGGACTTGAAAAGCGGTGTGCACGTTACAGCCTAGGCTAACCTAGATCAGCTAGATCCGTTGTGAGTAAAATTGCCTTTTCTTGTGATCAGGTAGGACATGCCAAACGCGTTTGAAAATGAGCGCAACTTCGCGTAGTGGCCCAACACTACAACATGTGCGGGAAGCACATCGCTTTGAGTAAACACGTGTTACAATGCTGAGGCACTAACGCTGCGCCTTGGCTAAGGCAGCAGTCACCGTTGCAGCAGTTACCGTTGTTGGCGATTGGAAAGGTTGAGAGAGACCAGACATCGGCAAGCGGGGTATTCCTGGTCTCGGGAACGGGTCTTTTATGTCTTCCAATTATTTCTTCTGTTACAAAGCCGCGGAATGAAAATGCGTTTTTTGTTTGCAGTAGTTTGACATTGTGGAAATCTGAACACCTACGTATACGGCGTATGATCCTATTTCTGCAAGCCGGCCGACTTTGGGAACTCTATTTCTGTTTTCGGGAGTTTCGGTACGACCCGAAACTCCCGAAGCGTTTGCCGATGTCTCTGAGAGACTGCCGGTTGCAGAGCTGAATCAGTTTACGTCTCTCTTCTGGCATAATCCTTTGGTTTGCCTTTGCTTGAATATGCATAGCCGAAGACGACGAGCTAGTACTGCCATTTTGTACGGCCCTGTACGTTTCCGGTTGCGGGCACCTGGCCGGACGGTCAACATGTCATACAACGCCCTCAACGCTATATCAACTTGGCATCTTGTAGTATGTTCTTTATTCTCCGCATACTTATTCGCTCCAGACAGATCCTGACTAAAAAACTATCGACCTGTCAGGGTCTATTCACTCGCCGCCCCCTGCTACAAACTGATGAGTCCTCGCCGAATTTTTAATCTCAAGAAGGGCGCGTGGCGACACCTTACCTGACCCTCTTCCCCCACTCCTTCCCTGGAGTCTTTTTGGACTCCGCCTCCCTTCATGACGCCTGATACAGAGCATAGGATGCTCACAGACGCAGACAAGGAAATAAATATTATTACAGCAATTCAGATCCCGGAACTGAAAAGCTAAAACGCTTTCCCAGGCATGCACGGCAGAGCCCAGGAACAGAAGAGATCAAGACAATAAGAAGAGACAACCATTGTGAAAAACCGAAGAAGTGACAGCGCACTGACATTCTATCAACTATAATGTAATGGGACACGCCAAGCCGTCGCAACAATTATTAGGCATGGGGCTAACTTGTGTGCGTAACGAAGAACATCACCACGCGACCCCCTCTCGATCCCCACCGCTAACTGACCCCTATCGCACACCACTGCCATCAACAAACCGGCCAACATGCCAGAATCCCATACCCACGGCAGTGCTACCGTTCACCCAACCAGTGTATCAACAATTGTTGATACATATACACTTGCGTGTCGCTGCTAGTATTTGATCAAATGGGAAGGTTACGACTCTAGTCATAATACACATGAACCAGAGGAATATCTGATCCCTTGGCTGAAGCAGTCGACGAATATGGACGCAAGTTTGCGTTCATATTCGTCAAACTTGCGTCGAAGAAGCACCCTCACAACCTAAGGGACAAACTCCTTCTTCTAAGAAGAGGTGTGAAGTTTCCTGGGCGAATATCCTAGCTGATTCAGGCCTCAGCCATCAGCTCGCGAGTCCTTTTCTGATACGTAAGGAAGGATATGACAAGGTGACGCTCCCAGAACGGTTAGATTCAGAGGGGAGGATGTAGAAAGCTACATTTTCCTTAGGATATTTAAGCGATTATTATTAATAATAGTTGTTTATTTCGTTGACAAACTCAATACGAGTGTCGACCATGTCACTTAATGGCTCGACATGTGTAGCAGTACGGCACGCACTAATAATACATACACGCGCTAAAGCGCAATTCCAGCATCTATAGAGGCCTTTCCTGCGGCCAGCTACTACCAACATGCCACGTGGCATGCGTGAAGCTGACAGACGTTTGTAGCGGACCTAACAGGCTTGTGACCTTGGGCCCCACCGACAGTATCCTACTACGGCAGGAGTGGTCGTGGAGATTCGTCCGGCAGGTAGGCCGAGATATGAGCTTCTTCACCCAGGCGGGATGCTCTGGCCAGACACTTAAGTATCGCGACTACTTGGTGTTCGGAGGTCAAGACTCTGCTGTCGCCGGTCTAGTTATACTGTACCTGTTATGTATTCTAGTGTCTGCCGCTGGGCTGGACTTCTTCCTGTTGCAGTTGCTAAACCTGCCGTTGGTGCCGTCCTGAATGAACTGCCACAGCAGTTTTTAACCTTAACACCCCCACCGGCGGCTGCTGCCTACATGTGCCCTCCACTGGCATCGTTTTGATGTTATGCCTTCCTTGCTGTACTTCACTGGTCGCCACTATGGCTCTTGTCCAGAGCATGGACCCTTACACGCCCGGTACCAACCGCACCATTGCCGCCGTCATCAAGATGCAGCAGTCTTAAGGTGCCTGCTGCAGCTGCCAGAACAGCCTCCGAGCCGCATGTAGCGGACTGCTGCAGCTGCCAGAACAGCCTCCGAGCCGCATGTAGCGGACTGCTGCAGCTGCCAGAACAGCCTCCGAGCCGCATGTAGCGGACTGCTGCAGCTGCCAGAACAGCCTCCGAGCCGCATGTAGCGGACTGCTGCAGCTGCCAGAACAGCCTCCGAGCCGCATGTAGCGGACTGCTGCAGCTGCCAGAACAGCCTCCGAGCCGCATGTAGCGGACTGCTGCAGCTGCCAGAACAGCCTCCGAGCCGCATGTAGCGGACTGCAGCAGCGGCTTTTTCCTCAATGTCCCGCCATTGGCGGCCGCTAGCTGCATGCAGCTGAGCCGCCTTCAGTTCCGCAGGCCGCCTCGACAAGCGGGCTTCCCAAGCAAGCTGCCTCTGCAGTCACTAAACATGTATTCGTGCCGTGCTTAGCGGACCGCCACGGCGGTTGTTTGGTCTTGGACTGCAGCTGGACGGCGAGACAGCAGACGTATGTGTCGCCCAATCGTTCGGGGCTTTAACGTGGTACCGATAGGTAATACAGTTTCACAGGAAAGCAAGTAGTCACATGCAATTTGGATTGCGCATTGTATGATAAACAAGTGCTTCTTTGCTATATCCTGTACCTAGGTACCGGAGGCCTCCGGTTATGCTTGAGGCGGTGTTAAGATATATGCATTGAGCTTTTGCATGTACCAAGGATTCCATTTTCATTGCCTTGTGTGCGGTTCGTGTGTGTTCTGCCCACATTCGGGTGCACACTGAAAGTACATGCATGCGCATGTGGATTAACTTGTGAATTGCGTGTGCTTGTTGTGGTACAGTTGCAATCAGATTTTCGCACTGAGTGTGTGTTTGCTGTGGGACGGGCTGCGCCAAGCTTAAGCCTTTTCCACCAAGAGTACATACAACATGCATTCGCTCGTGAACCGCCAAGCAAATCGTGTTTGGCGTGTGTCAAGCTGCGTTAAGCCTTACATATTGATTAATTGTTAAAGTCAACCAAATAAGCACAAATTTAATCTCAAATAAACCCTCTTAAGTATGAATACTGATTCCGTAATTAATGTTCCTGAATGTTCCGTCAAAAGGGCCCATTTTCAGCTTTGCCACAGCCGTCGTGCGTTAGCTCTGCGTTACGGAACGCAAGCTTATACACATCTAACGTTGTGAAACGCGACGCAACGCAAGATAACGCGACCTAACGCTAGTCACCCTTTGCCCTAGTGACGAAGATGCATTCGGGTAGAGGGGCGGTGGACGGCGTCCGGAGGCGTGTGCTGCTGCTCCTGACGCGTGTTGCCGTCCTCTTCCTTGAACACGTACAACCATTTGGGCGCGGACCTGTTGAAAGCGTGCAGCAGGCAGCAGCTGTGCTGTAGTGTACAGTCGATTGATTTCTTGAGGGTGCGTCGGCGGCAGGAGGACCGCAAGCAAAAGGCACGTGTGCATGTCTTGGCGTGCTTCAGCAAAAGCGGATTTCGTGAACATCCTGTCATGATGACCTAAGGGATGGCTAAGGGAATATTCGCCATGTTGTTATACAAGATTTTTGCCACAAGCGGCTGTAGTTGCTGTCGTACAATATTAATACGGCACGCATGGCACTGAAGTGTTTTGCCAGCACCTCGTGCTTAAACGAGAGCCGCCTTTCCGGCGGCCAGCTAATAAATACACGTGAGGCCCTGCCTGGCACTCGCAAGCTTAAATCAACTATGACCCTCTCCTCTTCCCTCCGTCCCCTTTCTTCGGCTGCTCCGCACGGCAGCCCTAGCCTGAGGTCCGATCATGTACGTCCAACCTGTGTCTTCCAACTTACAAGTCGCGGTTCTTGAACAAAGGTTCGGGCAAGACAGAGTCGATATCCAGTATCAGCTTTGCCTTGAGCAGCATCCACTCCTGCTTGGCATGCTTCTGCACTTCCTGATATGAAGTGGACATGGTCGCAATGAGCAGGTTCAGCAGGATGATGGACACGAAGAACGAGAAGCTGATGAGCATTGCCTGTGGGTAACAGACGGAGCAGCAACGGTAGGCAGGTAGGTGCAGGAGCAAGAGGGTGCATCTTAGCGGATGGTGTGGGCAGCAGATGGAGCAAGTAGCGAATAATAGGAACCCTACCTACCTACACCACCATAAGACATCATCCACATCTGTATTAGCCCAGCAGCCAGCAGTGCGGATGGGTTTAATGCGGAAGTTAGTTACAATCTGTCGTGTGGCAACGTACATCGGGGCCACTCTACCTATGATACGTATGGTTAGTATGGGGCGTGCAACCACTGCCAAACGAAACAGCCTCGAACCTCCTTAATCCTACATTCATACCATTGCAAGGTTGATAAGTGTTCAATGTTCACAAGGCCATCAACGGCACTCATATAGACTTCATAGATGGACAACCCACGTCAGTAAAATTCCTCTCGCCTGTAGACGATGCCTCCTATAGTAGATAGGGCCCTATCTATTATACGGGGCCTTGGTCTATAGGCGAGAGGAAACTTTACTTACGCAGTAGGAAGTAAAAATCATAAAAATAAGTAATACACTATCCCAATCGGCAATCATGTACAGCGCCAACTGCCTAAACATATGCCAACTCCTAGCTATGTATGCACCAGCCATGCATCATGCCAACAACGCCACAACGAACTTACGTGGAGGTACCATACGTACTTCGCCTCGCCACCCACGTCCTTTTCGATGCCGCCGGCCGCCTACATTGCATACATACCCAGGAACAGGTAGGTATATATCACCAGCAACTTACTTCATCCGCAATGCGGGGCGGGGCGGAGAAGAATTCATCAGGGGACAATAGTAATAAGAGCTAGGGTAATATTAGGGATTAAAAAATGCCCACGCAGTTGCACAGACTTTAGTTTCCCCTGCACCCAGCGTAGCTAGGTTGGAGTTGGTTGGAGGACTAATTAACGGCGGCAGCTCGTTAGGGAGTGGCTGGTGCATACATAACGATAGGTAGGTCATATGTACCAGCCAGCGGCACTACACAGCTCGATCAGTGCCTACACAAGCAGAATATTTGCACTGCCAGCATGAAGTAAAGTGTTTTTGTTGGGCGAGTAGTTACCGCACAGTGGCAGGCACCTGTTCTTTGCTCCCTCGCTTCTGATGTATGGGCTATTGAAGACAGCTTAACCTGCCTTTTCTATCTTTGTCCGGGTCCTCTTTCATACCATGAAGTAGTAGACCGATAGGAAGCTGTTGGGGAAGCCATTAAATAACTCGGTGAACTTGTCGGAAATGCTGCCGCCACCATCATTGGCCACCTGACCACAAACGGGGCAGATGGACTATAAGATCAGACAAAGAGTGAACACGGGAGATGCCAAGGGGAGCTGATCCCTTCTTACATGGGCGGTGCGACGAATCTCAGTGTGAGTGTTTTGGACAGGAGAGGGCGGGGCGGGGCCCACATACATGGTGTGATAGACCGTAGAGTACAGCAGGGCAAATGTGATGCTGCATGTGTGTGTTGGTACGAACCCGAAAGGGTTCATGTATCCGCAGCAGCCATGATGTCATGGTGGCGAGTTAGGTGCATATCTGATGGCGGACACTGCTTTGCAGTGATCAAAGAAGGGTTTCAGACACAGCAAATTTCCTTGGGCGCGGCATAAGAGCCCCTGAAAGTCTCCAGGATCGATCCTGACCGTAAGAGGGTGGAAGCACCCCTATGCCGACGGATAGTGACCGACACGGTCATAGTGACGACCTGTGAGCCGACCAGGAGTTGAGTTGGCACCGCTGTTGAGTTGACAAATTCCATGCAACTGCACTATGTTGTATCCTGTAAGCTTCTTGTACAGCCTGTGGCTCCATTGCCCAACTGTCGGTGGTTAGCTCGTCCGGTCCGATTTGCCAACACCTGTATATTTCCGCTGTCGGTAATTACATGTCTAACTAATACTGAGGTCAGTTTACTGGCGGCTACTGTTAGCTGCGGCGGATAAAGCGACTACTGATACTCGTCCGCCATCTGGATGCTGCGGAAGTCCATACTTGAGTATGGGTGGGGGCTTTACCTGAGTAAATCTGGGACCTGCATCCCTGGTACTGTCTGATTATCGGTTGGGGGAGCATCCGTCTGCGGATTTTGGTTCCATCTACGCCGCTCAGTCAGACTGGGAACATTCACGAACATGCCGGCGTTGGGCCCAGGTGGACTCTGCTGGAGATTATAATCCATCCATTTGCCTCAATCGGTATCTTTCAATACCACCATTTCATGGCTGCGTTGTCTGAAGCATACTACACACTGCATGTCTGCACCACGTGATGAGAGCTAAACCCCCCTAAGTCACTGACTCCTCAGAAGTCGGAGGAGGGACTGCCAGGCTAGTGAAGCTATACCATGTGAAGCTATACCCGCTGTTTCACAAAATTATACATATAGCAGCCACGCACCTGCGTAACCCTGGATAGGATAGCTAACCAACGTGGTGTGATGCATCGCAGTAGGGCACCGTAGCTTTCCCCTACCCTTCAAGGGTGCCACGTTTCTAGGCAGCAGGTATTATTTCCATGCTATGCATGTGATGCTTTCCTAGCTACGTCAGTAGCCAGGCGGGGTATGGGCTAGTGTTTGAATTAAAGGAAGGTGATGCTGCAAATACAGATTCGACACCCTAGTGGTGTGTTACCTGCTGCTCGTAGTATACGATGAACTGCTGGAATGCGAATGTGTACGTGGCCAGCGTAATCGCCACAATGAGCAGGAAAGGGCCCAGGTCTGTGATGATGCGGATTATGATCTGCACATAGATGCCCGTTCCCTCCAGACCTATGAGCGGCAAAGGGGAGTTACTTAGGCAATTAGAGCTTAATGAAGGGAGCGATAAGCAAGATAGGTTGGATATGCAAAGCGGCGGGCTGGGTCCACACTAGAACATCTGCATGTAACTGTGAGCCAAGCAGCCAACCCACCCACTAAACGTCGACGCCACCTGGCTAAAGATATCCAAGAGCACACCGACTGGATGAATCTATCAGCTCCGTCAAGTTCTAACACACAGCAGCTATGTAGTCCGTACTTCGCACATACATACATAGGTGTACATAGGTAGGCGGCTGGCAGAGGTTAAGGCCTGGCTTCTGTTCCCGGACGAACCGGATTCAAATCCGCCTGCCGATCTCTCAGGTGTTAGAGAAATGTCGAAATGGGCGGAGGCTCCCCATCATGTGGACGGTGTATGACGTGATAATATCAACTTGTGAGCTGACCACGAACTAAGTTGAGGGGCCATTGATACGCTAGACTTGGTTGGATGCTGGTGGTGAGTTGCTGAACCCAACGAATACATTCTGAAATCGGATGGGGTGAATGGATTAGGGTGCCCCTCTCGCAGGGGAGAGCAGGGACTGCCTCGGGAAAGGGGGCCGCTGGTAAAGTTTAACCACCCTGTAACAACATACATACATAGGTGTCACCCGGAAGCAGGTCTGGCTAGTACAGCCCCCGACCGGCTGCGAGCAGGCCCCCTGGGACGTGATTGCTCTAGCGCCCCTGTCTGCCATGGAGGTCGGCAGATGCTGCCTGAGGGCGGCCAGCAGGAGACAGGAAAGGCCGGCAAACCAGGAGCCGCCGCCGCAACAGCCAGCTCAGTAGGTACAGGCGCCGGGCCCCAGGCAGCAGCGGATAACGGACTTCTTCCCCCCGGCCGACGGGGTGAGACCACAGGTAGGGCCCGCACTGAACGCGCCGGGGGACGAGGACCACACACCGGGGCGAAATACAGAGACAGGGGCAGTAGAAACAGCGGCAACCATTGTGGCCGCAACCCCCTTGGAGCAAGCCCGCGCCCATGCAGTGATGGGCTTCTGGACGCGTTTACCCTCTTTCGTGGTGCTGGGCATCCCGCGAAGGGGCAGGGACGGAGTGGGACCTGACCTCCTGATCTTATCGGTTGCAGAAGCAGTGATGTGATGCGCGGAGGCGGTCGAAATCGCAGCTTAAGAGCGCTTGTGGGCGGGTTAGGCAGGGCAGGGCTCGGGTGTTGTATGGGAGGTTGAGGGTGATTGGGACTGGTGGGGGGAAGGGTTGGAGGGTGGTGTGGGGGGCAGAGGGCAATAGGATGGGTGGGAAGAAAGGGTTGGAGTTGAAAGTAGCCGGTGGGGAGCCAAGGGGGAAGTGTTTCGTTGGTTGGGGGAGGGTAGGGGAAAGGGGGGAATGTTAGTGAGGGGCAGGGAGGGGGTCGGTTTTCCCCTAACGCCACGCTGAGGGGATGGGTTTGGAGAGACCGGGATAGCTGGGGGCGATCGGGGAGGGGATGGGGTAAGGCTGAGAGAGCGCCAAGAGGACGTAGGTCTTGGGGAATAAGGAGGTAGAACACCGGTGGTTGCAGCGGGGCTCGGATGAGGGGGAGGTGTGACCCGAGATGGGCCGTACTACTTAGGCACGTCTGTACTGCAGGGTTGGGTGGTATGGCAGAGATCGAGGTCGGGAACTTTGCCTTCTTGGGGTTCTCTTGAGATCTAGAAGACCAGCCGTTCCGGTCTAGTAACGGTAAGGGGGAGGCACCACGCGGGCTACTCTCCTTCCCCTGTGGACTTGTGGTGGACCTAGGAGCCGGGTCCCGTGACACAGTCCTCCCGTATCTCCCCTGGAACAGCCCAGGGAGGGAGAGGTGGAGGAGGTCAGGAGTCTTGAGGTGGATGCGAGGCGTCTTGTGGTTTTTTGCTCTCTTGCCTGTCCTTTTTGGAGGCCAATGATTGGATTGTGTGCAGTTTCAGGAGGCCTCTCCTGTCCGAGACACCCCGGCCGTTCTCCTTGGCCTCTTTGTTTTGGGGGTGGACTGGAGACTTCGGTGAGCCCTTGCCTCAGCTTGGGTTATGAAGGAGTTCAGGCGGGACTTGAGAGCCAGTCCTGTTTGTACTGCCGCGCCATCCCAGGACGGAGGCGCGGCTGAGCGGCTGTGATGCGTACTTTCTGACGGCCTGAATCGGGTCGGGAGTACACATGACTAGCCGAATTTTTCTGAGTTCTCCCGACCCCTGCGCTGTGTTTCGGCTCTGCCCCCGGCTCTAGCGGTCCACAGTCTAATATGACAAATGAATACATATTTTTCCTTTTTTACATAAAATTACACGCCAGGGTTTGGCACTACTGGTAACGCGCGACCATTGACCCCGGGAGATCCTGGGATCGATACCCGCTAGGATCATAAACTTTTCGAATCTACGTCCCTAGTTAATGACCGGTGGAGACCTGGCCTGCGAGCCTACCAGGAACGGAATTGGGCCGCTATCGACCAGGCAGATTCTGTTGGATGCTGCATGTGGGTGCGGAACCTGAGCGATCCACTGAGAAGTTGACTAGGGTGACTGGATGAGGGTGCCCCGATATACCGGGGAAGGCAGGGTTTCGCAGGGTAGCTGCCTCTGGCGAAGATGTACCCCCCTGTTTCACACATCATATATGCCTTCTACGTACGCATGTACATACGCGTCCTTACATACACACAGATTACCACGTACATACGTAGTATACATACGCATTGGAATGCACCCAGCGACAAACCCTAGTGCCAGCCACCTGATGCCACCTGGAGCATGCGGATCCCCAGGAGCATGGTGCATGCGGACATCACCCAGCGGGCCTCCTCGAAACCCAGGACCTTGCATGCATCGCAGCAGGCGGGAGGGGAAGGCAAGGGGCATACGGCATTAATGGTGACGGCGGCGATGGCAGCAAAGCTAGCGCGCCTTATCATAGCAAGTCACCTATACCTCTAATCAGCGGTTGGCTATTGGCTTAAGCAAGAGAATGAAGTGACTAACCTACACCTGTATTTCTGACTTATAATGCCTCCAACCACTATTTCATCTATGCATGCGCCTGTTGAACTGGACCTTACCCGGGCCAACCAGGCTGGAGTCCATAACCCATACCCACATTCCCTCCCTCCTCCCATCCCTCAGCCATTTGCCGACAATCTACATATACACATCTACACACAAGTCCTCGGGTCCCCACACGGCTGATGTGGGCAGGATGGAAGGCAGGCGTCGCATGGGGGGATACCCATGTCCCTCAAAAACAGGACACATACACCTTCAACACAGTAAATCAAACACAGCATGCACGCACACAAGCCCAACTCTCACTTGCAGCAGCAGCACCAACACCACCATGAGACTTGAGAACACCTCCACCCAGTTCCAACCAGAGTTGAGGCCTGCAGACAGATCGAAATACACGAGGTTCAGGGAGAGAACGCCAATTCAGACCTGGTCTACCTGTTGATACTGGAGGTGATGGTGGACCATATGCGGGGGCGGTAGGTCTGAGCCAAACGTAAGACAGACCATACACATGTTCATAAAAAACCCACCCACGCACCCATATCGGTGCGATTTAGAGCGTGCATCCACAGTTACGCCTCTCACTCGAGGTTCAGAACGTAACCCATGCACCATCCAGAGCTTCATCACATGCAGCACTATTGCCGGTGCCTGGCCTCAAATAGATGTCCCAGCAAGCTAGCAAATACCTTGAGAGCATGTTCGGCTGTGTACCATGCATATGCATACCCAATTAATAGGGAGTTGTATCCTGAAATCTGTTCTCTGTAGCTGTTCGTATTTCCTTTCGGTTCGAACTGTTCGATCCTCTTTACCATTATCGCTGTAACTAACTGAAACCTGTTTACACAGTCTGTTCATGTTTACAGGACTGTCTAATTATACTGTTACTAACCCGGCGGCTTGCGACTGCTGTACGTCGGAAATGCTAATCAAATGCCACTCTGCGGAAATCCATACCTGCGGGGGCTTTACCTGAGTAAATCTGGGATCTGCGTCCCTGGTACTGTCTGATTATCGGTTGGGGGAATATCCGTCTGCGGATTTCGGTTCCATCTACGCCACCCAGTCAGACTGGGAACATTCACGAACATGCCGGCGTTGGGCCCAGGTGGACTCTGCCTCAATCGGTATCTTTCGATACCACCATAGGGGCGGAAAGAAGGGGTGTTCCTACCAGCGGCCGACTAGCTCCCCATCCCAGCAATAATTCATCTGTATTTTGTGAAGCCTGGACAGTCAAGGTTTTTCCTAGGTAGCCTTGCACCAGCCAGCCGGCAGGTAGGTGTACAACAGCATACTCATTCTGCCTGGTGGACCCGAACGATTACAGCACTATCTTATGCACCCGTTTCAACCTATCTGCACACACACACATACACATACCGAAGGCGTACTGGAAGGCTCCCTGTCGGTACATCTGGCGAAGCTCTCGCCACAGATACCAGATGCTGCCCAGCAGTAGCAAGAGCTCCAGCAAAAAGCGGAGCACCATCCGTGTACTCCAACCTCTCCTGCCGTACATATCTGCCAGCCGGCCCACGCTTGGGTACCATTCCAAACCGATCGTCGTGGTGGTGATGTACAATGCCATGAAGAAGCAATAACCCACGGCCTGCCTCCTGTATATCTTGCCTGCGTGCGGCGTGCCAATAATAATAGCATCTGTACTTATATTACATACTTTGTGGATGAGAGGAGATAGAGTGATAGCTTAGGCCTGTGTGGGCTCTCGATGGTGGGGCCGTGATGTAGGCGACATGGCAGAAACACGGAAATGCCTGATCACTCTTTCTCTGAACACAGGTTTGCTGCATGATTGCCGGAATCGCCACTCCGTAAGGATGAGGACTTGTAATCGTAAGGTCGCAGCTGCAGCTCCAAATCAGAATGACTCATATCTGGTGCAGTCTGGATCGTGCAGCTCTTTTGGTAAGGTCCGAGTCCGTCCCCGGCTGGCCCTTTCATAACGATGATCAAAAAAGCTATGAGTCGGTCAGCAACTAGGTAATACTATCATATGTACTAGGTAGTGACCCACCACCAGCAGCAGCAGGGAACATGGCCTACAGCTAGCAGTACGTACGTAGCTAGCTACATGACCGCATATATGCATATGCATAGGCATAGGCAGCACACCCATCGACCGATCAACCCGCCAGCATAGTTACAGCAACCGTCTCTCTCGGCCATGTACCGATCCGAGCCTGCTGATATATGCTATCCACGTAAGAAGGTGGAAACTGGGTGGGGGGTAAAGGGGTCTTGCCGCACCTACTTGTATAACATGATATGTATGTATGTTGTTACAGGGTGGTTAACTTCGCCAGCGGCCCCTTTCCCGGGCAGTCCCTGCTCTCCCCTGCTAGAGGGGCACCCTAATCCGTCACCCCATCCGACTTCAGAGTGTATTCGTTGGGTTCGGCAACTCACCACCAGCATCCAACCAAATCTCGCGGATCAACGGCGCATCAACTTAGTTCATGGTTTGCTCATAAGTTGATTTTATCACGTCCTTCATCGTTCATATGATGGGAGGCCACCTCCCATTTCAACACTCCTCAAACACCCGAGGAGCCGGCAGGCGGATTTGAACCCGGGTGGGCCGGGTGCAAAGGGTCAGGCCCTAACCTCTGCCTGCCGCCTGCCATATGAATGTATGGACCGTCAGGCAGCTTACCAGCGTACATGTCCCATTTGTATGTGATCACCGCAGCTATTGCGTCGGTTGAGAAGGCGTCATAGACATTGTTGGCTACCAGCGCGCCCAATGGAGAGTCGTTCACGGATCGTGTCGTCAGCGCCACGTATGGCAATGCACAGAAACCAACCTCGTATGGCGCGATGGAAATCCGTAGGAAATACCTATCATCACCATGATAGTTAGATCATGGAAATGCACGAAAGGAAGGTAACAGGTACTGGATTAGGGAGGAATGGGCGGGAGACGTTACTGCTGCATGTGTATGCTTAGCTTCCTGCAATCCGGGTCGGGGCACATTTGCCTGGGGAGTGCAGCAGCTTGGATAGACTGCTGGCAATGCTCATCGGCAGCCGCAGGCGGAGATCTGCTACGACAGCAAAATACTGGTGGCTAAGGTAGGGGAAATATCAACCCTACATTGCCAGCCCCTACATTGCCACACGCCAGGGCTTAGGCCCCGCAGTTATCTTTTCTGAGGTTCCTGCATGTGCTTACGGAAGGAGGATTATTATCTGCCTGCAGGACGGCCGAAACACGAATCCCCAAGACCCAGAAATACATGAATAGATACATAGATCACAGGCAGGTGGCTGGCAGAAGTTAAGGCCTGGCTTCTGTTCCCGTTGATCCGCTAGATTTGATTGAATGGTGGTGGTGACTTGCCGAACTCAAAGAGTACATCCTGAAGTCGAATGGGTGAATGGATTAGGGTGCCCCTCTCGCAAGGGAGAGCTGGGACTGCCTCGGGAAAGGGGGCCGCTGGTGAAGCTATATCACCCTGTATCAACATCATAGATACACACCCGCAACTCACCGCACCAGGGCCTTGAAGAAGTGCCACAGCACTGCAAGCCAGTCCACTTTGGCACAGAACCTGAAAAAGGACAGGTTCGCCGGATCCACCCCGTATGCACCAAATTGCCGGATCCACATCGCCGGATGCTTATAGCTGAACATGTCGTACGCTACCTCCTTGGTCATGTCCGTTGAGTCCATCTGGAAATACACATACATGGCCATATATGTACCAGGCAAGCAGCCACACATCTCCCAAGTGATGTCATAGGGGTACGATGCTGTACCATATCCCAAGTGATGTCATAGGGGTACGATGCTATACCATATCGTACAAAGCAGTGCATCTCGCCTACTCTGCGTTATGCATATGCAGGGTAATAATGCAACTCGAGGCATAACACTCACACACACTCACACACACATACACACACATGTATGTGTGAGAAAAAGAGTGTGAGTGAGTGTGCGTGTGCGTGTATGTGTATACACATAGACATGCACACACACGTACACACACACAGCACACAGCACACTATACACAGCACACAGCAAACACCACAAACACTAGTATCATTTCTCTCTGACCATCCCCTCGCCCCCAACCCCAACAGACCATTGCCGTCCTACCAAATATCCGAATAACTTTCAGTGCAGCGTCAGCATCCTGCCGCTCAGGCGTACCTTACTTCTTCGCCAATCCGTCGGTTATTACGCTACATACCTACCATGCCGTAGACCCCTAGCGGACACAGCAGCTGACCAGACAATTCAAAACAGACCTCGCTAATAAGCATACTTGGCTGCGGCGAGGTTAATTGATTATTGCTCAGCACGACGTTGTAGCTACGCACTTCTGCTGCTGCCCCCAGTACGAGTCATCAAGGTGCTCTGCTGTAAAGGAAATACACATGCGAGATTGAGTCTGCACCTACATGCATCATTTCATGAATAACACACAAACATTTCATATCCCACCTCGTCATCAGCTCATCACATATATGCATGTACGTGCATCACCAACCAGCACGCACCCGCCAACCTACCTGCGATCCGAGCACCACAAGTATTTCATCCCCCCAGCACATGGGTAGCCGCTGTACTTTGGTGAGCCGCTCAATACCAACGGCATCCAAGAACTTCACGAGCATGGCAGGCATCTTCGACGCCAGGTTCTTCCATGCCTGCATATGCATATTGTAAGACCAGACAAAGAGTACTCGCGGGAGATGCCAAGGGGAGCTGATCCCTTCGTACACATATGCGCATGGCGTGTGATGAGGTGTGAGTCTATATATGTATGGGTCCAGGTAGGTAGCATGCCACTATTTCCCTAGATAGTTAGTTACATTATAATGTGGTAGCGAGTAATGGGCGACAGGTGCCCCTTGCTATAGTGAACAGCCTTTAATGGCCGAGCACTCCAGGGTCACACATGTCCGTCGGTTTTTATCATTAGCTGACAAGCAAGCAAGCATAGTCATCATCAACTCATTGATCCAGTAATCTGTAGTATTTACACTGAGCACCAGGCATGCATGCCGTCAAACTGTTCTCACTTCAGCCACATACATACATCGCGAAATGTGTGGGACCTCGTATCACTGGATGAATGGATGGATGGATGGATCAGTGGGTCCGTTATGTGCCCACCCGCCTTTCAGCAGGGATGGACTGACTTACTGGTCGTAGGTGCGTGTGATCATAAACATTGTGATAACCCCAACTGGAACCCCAACTGGCATCATCCACGCGTGCAGTATGAATAATGAAATGTTATTATTACGTGCATTTACTTTGCAAAAATGGAAATACCGGACCTAATTAGGTGATGTTATAACATCATCACACCCAGAGTATCACCTACCTTCATCACCGCCAGCCGAAGTGGTGCAGCCCTCGACAGCTCGTTGGCCAGCAGCAGCTCCACAGAGTCCCAGTACCCCTTCTTCACCGCCAGGTCCAGCGGCGTGTTCCCTTGGTAGTCGGCAGGCAGAGGGGCCGAGTTGATGATCCCCGCACCCTTTTCCAGCAGGACCTTTAGGAGGCCTGCCCCAATGTCACGGCTCGCCGCCCTTCCAGCAGAGCCAGCAAAACGAAAAAACAGTATTAAGAAAGGCGACCGCAGTGTAAGCACATGCAGTGGTAGTCACAGCACCAGATGCAGTGATGAGTGACGCAATACCACCGGCGGTGGTGGTGCAATCATGCATTCAATGTACTATCTTACTACTACTAGGGTTCTTGGGTATGCCTCTGGATGATGCGTCCTAGATGATGCCGGTCAGTAGTGCAACCATCTCGGAAGTCCTTTCCAGGCTGTGGTACGTACGGTCACACATCCCGCCAAACCGAGAACGAAAAGCATGTGAAGTTAAGAGTGCCCAGCGTATGAATGGATACCGGATGAAGCAAAATTGAGTCGTGTAAGTAGCTGTAAACGAGTAAAGGCATGAAGTCTGAGATCCTGTACCCACTTTGGAAGGATGGACATGAAACCCCTGACCTTGTAAACGGCTCTCAACATGCTAGCAGAGCCCTTCAGCGCCACCTAATTATAGACGGTGTGTACCATAATGTGCGACAGCTACTACCACAGCTCAGCTCGCGCGTGTGTGTGGGTGCATTTGTACACCGTTCCAACTGTTGCTCCTAACTACTTTCTTGCTGTCCTACTTGGCGTCGCAGGTTCAGTACCAGGGCAAAACGATTCGACGGCAGCACGTTAATACCCCGGCCCATGCAGTTAGCAGATACAGCAGGTCAACAAGGCCAACAGAAGCTAGCAGCAGGTACATCATGTCAATAAAACCACGCACGCAGGCCATCCAACTTGTCCCCTCACATCCCTACAAACACGGAGGGGGGTTAAGAAACTTAGGAGAATGCTTAAGAACGATAAGAACGACGGAAGAACATGGAGGAGGCGGGTGTGCATTCTTAAACATTCTTACACTGGTATTAAGCGGTTTTATGTAAGTATGTCATATAAGTATGCATTAAGAATGCATCAACCATGAAAACATTCTGTAATGAATGCCTGATGGAGCTCTTATAGTTCCCGGATAGGTAATATATCACAGTGATTGTGAAACAGTGAACATACCATGAAATTTCATGAAAACTATCAACATGTGTCTGGGTCTAGACCTTAGATCTAATAATGCGAGATCTAACAGGTTTAGACCTGTTAGATGGATTAGCGAGTCGA